ATGCTAATATTAGCCCATTAGCCCATATGAACATATGCGTTCATATGAGCCCAATGGCCCAGATTGAATCTAGATCGATTTAGCGGTCACGACCTCATTTCGTATTTGAATTTTAATTAATTTTTTAAAAATTTAAATAATTGAAAATTTTAGCGGTGTGTTTCAAAAATAAGATAATCTAATAAAAATATCACAAAAATAATTTACAAGAAATAAAGTGACCAAAATACCCTTGACAAGTTTTGGGGGTATTTTGATCAATTTATTTATTACGAATTATTTTTAAAATATTTTTATTAGGTGCGACTTGATGAGAATAATGGATGTCTAAAATTTCAAGTTATTTGGATATGAATAAAAAAATTTAAAATTCAAACACAAAATAAGGACGTGACCGTTAAATCGGCTCAGATTCAATCTGGGCAGTTAGGCTCATATGTTCGTATGAGCTAGTAGGCTAGTCTCTGCATTTTTCATATATATATATATATATATATATCTCACTTTCAGAATAGAGGATATCTTGATTTTGTTCATTCTTAACAGTCCATTGACGAGTATTGGTTAAAATCTGATTTTTAGAGTTTCAGGGAGGTGAAAATCCCACCATCCTCTTAACCAGTAAATCCACAGACTATGGCTTTGGCGACTTCTTGATCTTGGTTGCCAACCATTTTGCAGGCTGAAGCATACATTGTCATATGTTTCATAGTATCTAGTACTGGGGTTTCAGCTATGCCATCAATATTTCAATTGACTATTGACCTTCCAAAATAGGAAGTTGTATGTGATATTAAATCTTCTTCAAATTGAATATCAACTGGTGTGGGTCTAAGATGATAAGGTCTAGCAGTAGCAGGTTTCCAACCTTTACCATATGCTATTCTTTGAATGTATGGATTTTTTGATTCTGTGAAGGCTATTGTCTAGTGTTCAATAGTGTCTTCTATTACTGGTATTTCTTCTTGGAGAGTTAAGGTAGAAGATTCTGGTATTAATTTGGATTTACCTTTTATGTCTTTTATGCCTAGATCAGCTAAATTGGATATAAGTTGATCCATTAAAGTTTTATTATTTTCAATCATACTGAATCTATTTAATGCAGGAGGAGGTTTAAATAATAAAGTCTTTTTCAGTTCTGGAATTGGATTTGGCCTGATCATATTTTCTATTCATATAGTTTGTTTTCCTATGGATTGCATATATAAATTAGTATAATTATTTCGTTCAATAATATGAGGGATTAATTCTGTTCGATGAACAATTTCTCTTGTTGTCATTTTGTAAGGAGTAGCTCTTGTTTCAGAAACAAGTGAACTCTCTCCTTCTTTGTTATTAGATCCTTTTATAATAATACTTTTTTCTGGAGGATGTATACTGGTTATATTCAGACCTTCTATTGTTTGATATGTGGTATATTGATTTTCTATGGTACTTATTATATTTTTCTCAAAATTTGGAATTTCAACTTTTCTTTCTATTAATGTTCTTCATAACCATGTAAAAAATCGTATATTACATGTTTTTGTTTTATATAACTTATTATATCTTTTGTGGAATAATTCTATTAACCTGGGTTGAAATCTTTTTAAATACCATTCTCTTATATCTTTATTTTCTTTAAAAAGATAATCTTGTTCTATCCATTGTTTAGATAAAGGTTTAGTGAGAGTCAGAATATGAAAATCCATTTCTGTATCAGACAGATCTGGTTCAGTTTTTAATGTGGGTTGATATTGTGGAATTACTATATTATCTTTTGTTCTTAATAAACTTTGTATTTTTGGAACTATTATGAAACTAATATAGCATATGAACCTAATTTAGCATATGAACCTAATTATGAAACTAATTTATGCCAAGATCTACTCTGAACCAATTATGAAACTATTATGAAACTAAATTAGCATATGACCCTAATTAGCATATGAACTTGAAACTAATTTAGCATAATTAAATAATTATGAGTCTAAACTAATCTTACTTATCCTAAGTACAAAAATAGTAAAACTAGAATGACTATCGAAAAAGGAGCTATATCTATTACTAACTAAGTAAAATAGGTATTCTCATAAATCTTAACACTTAAAACAATACGAATTAACATAACTTTTATGCAAGCTTTATATAAACATACTGTTTACAATATACAGACGAACAAGACTAACTTACTGTGTAAAGCATAACAGAAATTTACAGTGACAACATTTTGAGTACAGAATAAAAGTTACAGATGAAAAAACAAACTTAAAACAAAATTACAATATACTTACTTACAAAGTACAAATGCAGAAACTACAAAACGACTTTCACTCAGGTGGACAGAATCTTGGTAGATCCTGTAAATGACAATCACACATCACACTCTAAAACTTAATATTTTACAAGAGAAAGGGAGAGAAGAAGAAGAGAGCAGGAGAAGAGTATTCTTTTGAGCTTGTGAACTCCTAAAATCTTCCGATGATTTTCGAATGAGAAAAGGTCTTCTATTTATAACCCCCGGACTTCAAATGTTTCTTCATTGTATTTCAGTCTTATACAGGTGGCAAGATTCGTTGTAATTATGAAGTCTCCAGGTGGCAAGATTTGCTGCAATTATGAGGAGAAGACGGAAGTAAGTGAATGCTTTTTGTAGTGGGAATCTTTCGTGGCAGGTACGTTGAGAAGGAAATAGTTGGCTGCTTTCATGGCGTGGTGAATTGATTTGAAAGGAGGCGGCACAGACTGTCTTCAATAGTGAGGGAATCTTTCTTTAATTTTGTCGTATATAAGCAGTGGGCGTCTTATATCTTGTATGGTCGGTGAGCTTCTTGTCGTATACGGTCGGTGAGCATCTTATGTCTTATCAGGAGGGGCTTTGGTCATATCAACAGGTATTTTTGGTCTTGTCATAACAACTTTGAGCATTTTATATCATGTCACAAATTTTCTTTTATCATGCTTCAATATAATGTTTGTTTTTGAGACATTCCATGGGCCGATGTACCTTGGGCTTCTTCAATGGCATCTGTTTCTATGGTTGTTTTAGCTTCTTCTGAAAAAATTTCATATAGTTGTTTTTCTTGTTCAGCTCTGGTGGCTTGAGGATTGTGTTTCCTTATTTGAGATATATATTCAGATAAATTATTTGGGTTAAAATAAGAAGAAGGTTTGAAGCTAGTTGGCGCTGGTTTCAATATGATATGTTCTGGGTCTAAATTGTGGTAGACAAAGACGTTCCACCACTTCACAGCAATCTGCTTTCCTAAACATGGGATATATTCATAATTATTGATATTATTATCGGATATAGCAAATAAGCATTTTAGTATCTACGGTATCTGATAAAATGCAACAAAATATAAATGATAATTATTTTTAGGATTCTTCCCATTGTATTCAATAAACTTTTCTTGAGAGGCTTGCAAGGTTTCTGGCATTATTTGGAATAGTGATCCCCAAATTGTAAACCAATTTAGGAACCAATTTGGAACGGGTTCGATTACCACCATTTTGAATTGGAGGAACCATGTGTGTGAATTATATTGGTTTTAGATAGTAAGTATACGGTGCCAAGCATCAATTTAGTCAGAGAATCGATAATGTTTATTTGAGAAATCGGGAGATTGTAATTTTTTAGATCGTGAAGGGTCTGGGCGCCATTCACTGAAATTCAATATCTTTCGCATCTATATCTTTGAATATGATATAATCTTTGAATTCTTATGGTAATAATAAGTAAGATATATAGAACATGTTTCAAGTAGAATCATCTCAAACCACTCTCTGGTTTTCGTACCATTAGAGGGGTTCAGATTATTGCATAGGTAATATTTAGCCACTGTATTTGGGTCTTCTGAAGCATGTATGTTTTCAATAATGGCATCGACAATAAAAGCAATATTTTCATATGGGGATTTGTCTGAGGTTGTAGGTTTGCGGATAGTTGGAGATTGTATAAAAAGTGGGGTTTGAAGAGATAATGGTGCTTGGCTAGAATGTTGTGGATAGTTTAATGGACTATTTGGGATATTGGGTGAATACGGAGTCAAATCTCTGTTAGGAGATTGTATTGGGACAATATCTAGGGATATTTCCATCGTAGCCTTTCCTTTGGATTGTATGGTGTAGGTATTCATGATTTGATTCTCAATTGCTCTATTTTTATTGAATAATATTAATGGTAAAGATAATTCAGGTGGATCAAAGCGATCAGTATAGCCCTCCCTGCAAAAATTCACGGGTGAGAAAATCAAGAAGGTGATTAGTAGAACCTTGGAGATGTTCAATAGAAAAATCGAAGAATAGTAAAGATTCTTACCATCTGGAAAAAATTTGTTTCGAAACCAAGTTTTGCTCGTCTTTTTCAACAATATCTTTAGCAGCTTTGCAATCAGTGTGAATGAGAAAATGAATATTTAAAATA